TTGGTCTCACTGTATTGCTTCTATTCACGTGTTTATCGCCCTGGTCTTGCTTGCTGCCCATGCCTCGGACTGGCAGCACTTACAAGCACAGGCTCTGCTTTCAGAGCCAGCCTTGCCACTGTGCCCACATCATGGCCTTGGTCACAGGCCCTGCAGGTAACATCACCTCACAGCCACACATCTGCTGGGCCTGGACCACACTATCCATCCCCACCCCGTGCCAATCTGGACGGTACCCAGCTCCACTGCTGACTTCCAAAGAAAACCCTACCCACTGGTCAATTCTGTCGAAAGGTTTACGGGGTAGAAATGCTAGGCATGTCAGTGGACTCGTTCACTTTCAGAGTGTTCGCATCAGATGCCTATAAACAAGCACTTCCCCTGGGTCTCTCAGGAAGGGCTGTCAAGAGATGTCTCCTCTGTCTTTCTACTCTCTTCATCCAGCCTTCCTGGAACCCCAAGATCTCTACCTGCACTCCAATCCAGCCCTCCTTGCCCCAACCTTCCTTTATGCAGAGCATCTGTCTGAACCAGGTGCTCAGTAGCAAACACGCTCTCCCACGGGACTTACAGAGCGCATCTCCTCAGTGTCCTCCGTGCGGCCAGAAGCAGGCCCAGCAGTGACAGGGAACAGTGAGGATCGCACAGGTTAAAGCTCAACCAGCCCCATGGACCTTGGGCAATCACTTCCCACCTCTGCACCTCAGCTGCTCCTATAAACGAGGGCTGAGCTGACTGAGGGGACTGAGGCGGCCTGAGGACACGCACAGTTTTCACCTGCTGTGGTTTTTGATAAGTACCGTCAAAAAACCCCTCCTCTGACTTAGCTTTCTTCCAGCTCCTGAGTTCTCTGGCTGAAGAGGCCCGACCTTGGACCTCCCTCTCTATCCGTGCAGAATCCAATCTGAGCAAGAATCCTGCTATGTCCTTTTAGGGAAGACCTTGCCGGCTGGCATCTGGCTTGCTGTATCACTCTGGCTGCGTTTAGCAATAACCCCATCAGGTCAGCTTAGCCAGAAATCCCTGGCCCCTGATGTTTCCTCTCCGACATCTACCACCCCTGTACCCCACCCTGCTCCTTTGCTCCACGCCTCTGCTTGTCCTTGCTGGCTCTGGGGATGAGCCCAATCTTCCCCCTCACTACAAGACCCCGTTACAGTGGTTCATTTGCCCATCAGAACCCTTCTCCTTTCCCCAATGGGTGAAGTCTCCCCAACCATCTGTAACAAGAGGCAGAACTTGGTGAATTTTTTAACACTGCCCAGGCAAGACCACAATTATAATCAGGGTCACTATAGTTTGGACTGGAAGCATCCCGCAAAGATCCACATGGTAAAGGCTTGCTCCCCAGGGAGGCCCTCTGGATAGAGCCTGGAGGTGAGGCCTGGGGAGGGTCCTGTGCCCCCCATGGGGGCTACAGGGCTCTAGTCCCTTCCTTTCTCCCTTGCTGCTTCCTGGCTGCCATGAGGCAAGGGATTCTGTTTTGCCACACACTCCTGTCACAATGTGTTACTTCCCCGAAGACCCAAAAGCAACGAGGCCAACAAATCTTCTATTGAAACCTCCAAAGCAGTGGTGATCCAATGCAAGTCTTTTCTCTCTGTAAGTTGATGATCTCAGACCCTTTGTTACAATACTAGAAGGCTGACTAACACAGAGGTGCAACCCTCAGCTGTCCTGATGTCTTTCAGTTGTAGGTTTAAAGAACCTTAATTATTTGATTAACATCCTATTTTTTAGAATCCCACTCTGAAAAACTTATTTGCAGTTTGAAGAAAGTTTTGCTTCCTCTACTGGCTTTGGTTCAGACCCTCAAAGAATATGATCTTTAATGACCACACAAGAATGGGCCAAAGCTGTCTTTTTTCACAAGGCTATTAAGGACATGAGTACTTTTTAAAGAGGGCTGTTTCTATATTCCTCATGTCTTTTTCTATGAGCAAATGAAAGTGACACCAATAATCTGAGCTCAGATACCTATCACTTATTTTCATTTTCAGTGCTTTCAATGTTCCCACCAAAATATAAATTACCAAGCATTAGCATAAGGGGGTGGTGGTGACAGAACAGCACATTCTGCTTACTGTTGACATCACTGCACTTAATTCCTAGTGAGAAAAACTTGGACAGGAAAAAGCCATCTATGCAGGAAGATGCAACGCCACACACCTATAATCCCAGCACTGTGGGAGGCTGAGGCAGGAGGATCCCAAGTTTTAGGCCGTCTCAAATATATAAAGGTGTAGAGATGTAACTCAGAGCAAAAGCCCTGCTGTAGGTTCAGTCCCCAGCGAATGTGTAGGTGGGGGTGAGGGGAGTCTGCCCAAAGCTATGTCCCAGTAGACACAGAATGCAGCCTGGGATTGGTTTGCTTGCTTTTTGGGGTCAAGTCTCTGATTCTCTGGAACCCAATTATCTATCCCCCGAACCATTAAAGCATCCAGCTAGGATAAATAGTTCCTGCCCATGAAAACCAGTTCTCCATTGTCAGATATTCCCTCTTAATTGATCTCAATAAGCTATTTTAAATGAACAAATGCCAAGGAAAATGCACAGCACTAACACATGGTAATTATCTATAATTCTTCATTTTTAATGTCACTGAAAAGAAAAAAGTAATGCACACATGGACAGATGCTGACTAGAGCTTTACAAAGACATCAAAATTAGGGTATTGGGTAGAGTCGAGTAACTTGCCTATAAATCTGCTTGAAAAGCAGGTTTTCATCCCAGTGAAAATAGATGCCACAGCTGGGAACTGGGAAGCGTAAAACCTCAACAAGGCAGGGACCTGGAAAACAGGAAATGGCTAGAGATGGGGCCTAAAAGCTAAATCAGACTCATTGAGCTACTAAATATTTAAGGTAAATTTTGGTGATTTTGAGAAGAGGAGAAAGAGACAACATAGCTTTTTAGACAGGGTGTTTTGTTTTTGACAAATTAAAGAACTATAATCCCATTTTAAAGGTCACTTAAAATCAGTCATCCTCATTGAACAGATGAGAAACAAATCTGGAGGTTTTGGAGCTATGAACATGAACTCACAGCCTCAGGAATGGGGAGGGGCTGAGGCAGCCACAGGAAGACACTGCTCTTTATTTTACTTACAATCTCATCTGCAAGTGGGCATTTAATAAGCAGACGATCTCTCTCTCTCTCTCTCTCTCAGAGCAGTGATAAAAAACCCTTGAGCATTTACTATGTCCTACATGCTGGGGTTGTTGCAGAAATGAAAGTATATCCAGCACAGAACTACTGTAACAAGTTCACCTTATTTTTCAACAAATGTAGTCACATTTGAAAGACTCCTTGGATCTTCTTTCCTTAAGTGCAAGTGACCTTGCGCTCTGTGCAGGGATGGGTGGGTGCACACAGCGTCCTGCGTACTTCTGTGAGGGTACAGTGCCAGCCCTGAAGCCGTGCTCTCTATTGCCATTAAGCAGGACCAACTGACGCAGTGCCAACAAAAGAAAAGGACCATCTTGGGCTCAGAGGTGACAATGAACGGAGAAGAAATAAGGGAGCCCAGGTTACTCATGGGTAATTGAAAGGGGGGGAGAGTGGCCAAGACCCAGGGTGATCAAAGACGAAGGTCCTCACCTCATGATCCCATGCAGCCCTACATCAAGGACCCCACTTCCACCCTGGAGTGACTTTTTTCTTTTTGTTATGGGATGGAACCCAAGGGTGCTCTACCACTGAGTTACATCTCTGGCCTTTTTTAATTTTTATTGTGTGATGGAGTCTTGCTAGTAAGTCGTCAAACTCATGATCCTTCTGCCTCAGCCTCCTGAGTTCTAGCTAGGATCACAGGCGTGTACCACATCTGGCTAATAAATGACTTTGCATGTGGCTCCTTAGAGCCACTTGTCTTTTGCATTAACAAATGATGCAACAACTGGAACTAGAAAAGAGGTGAATCACCCCAAATTTTTTTTAACCCCAAATTATTTTTACTGTCTCTTTAAAGATACTCAGATTAATAACAGTGCACTTCCAAACCATCATGGAGAAAACAAGCTGGAAAAGAAATCTGAAAATAATTAACCAATTAGTGATTTTTAATTTACATAACTTTTTTGGGAATTGACAATTAAGAATTCCATCAAAACCATCACAAATTTACCGATGCCAACTCAGTGCTTCAGAAATGTACCTGGCTCTCGTGATAAATATCAGGAGTTTCCAGTAATTAGGAGTAGGTGAGAGCTACGTGCTCTTTACCCCCAAACTTACTGTCAGTGTCAGTCCGAATTCCATCAGAGGACCTCAGTGAGCCGGCACAAACACAGGCAGAATTTCCGGCAGAATTTCTCTTTTTGTACTCAGGCACTTAGAGGAGCATCCCGAGTTCACTCAGGAACACACGCCATTCTCAGGGGAGGACAAACAAAGCTCACAGTTGAGTGGAGAATGTGATGGTCCACAAAGTGGGGCAACCACAGACCTCATGCACTGCTTTGATGGCATCAGGATGCTGGGCCAAATAGGTTCTGATTCCTTATGCATTCAAGGCTGGTGGGTCTACCTACCATTCAGTTTACTGATAGAAAACACTCTTCAACATCCATTTGTGGGAATAATGTGGGTATTCTTTTAGAATGCACAAAGTCAAATTATGTTAGTGCCTCCTTAATATTAAAATCCTGATTCTAAGTAAGATTTTTTAAAGAATTATGGTGTTCTCCAAGATTCTGCCATTACAAACCATTTTGACAACTGGAAAAGTATTTATTGTACTTACTCATGTTATGTTCAATCCTAACCACAACCTGGCATTCCTGTTTTAGAGATGAGAACACTTTAGTTGGGAGAAGTTAAGAAAGTTGGGCAAAATTACAACAGGACCCAGCATTCAAAGCTGGTTCTGCCTGACTCCAAATCCCTACACATTTTTCTGTCTGTTACTGCACTCAAGCCCCTAGACAAATGTAAAGTGTTCGAGTACACAATTCAAAATAGCAAAATCAGACAAACACATCACTGATCCTATTTCATACCTTCAATCCTCTGAAACTTCCTGGGCTGGTTGGAGAGGAGCTGGAGGATTTTGTAGATTTAGGAGTGGAAAGTTGGCTGCTGGGAGTTCCGTTAACTGACCAGGAGACAACAAAGGAGACAGAGATAATCAAAACCCAAAAGAGCTAGATTGTGTGAAACCACTGAACACATGCACAATATTGCTCCAATAAAACTTCAGTTTACTTAAAGCTCAAAGCAGATGGCAAATCAGCAAAAAGCAAAAATAATGTATTCCATTGCATTACAGACAAAAAAAATCAGACAAGGAGTGAAACTACAATTATCTTCAATAATAGTTTTCCAACAGTGATATAAACAAACATCTAAGACATAGTGGAATTAGAGGTTTGTGGGAGAACTTGTCCATATGTCCTGGCTCTCAAGAGGTAAAGGACTGGCTGCTACATTACGATTTACCAGGAAGGTTGTTCCATAACCTCCAAGATCCATCCACTGTCTTCCTGTATCCCAGCCTGAATGACGACAAGTTCTGACAGCTCTCGTGAATCAATTGCACCACAACCCAAACATATTTTCTGAATATGTTTTTGTTTTTTTTTACTGAAGATTGACCCAGGGCCTCACACCTGCTAAGCACATGCTCTACACAGCCCCGCACCTCCACCCCCTCAGTACGTTCCTCCTGGAAAGGGAAAATTACTTATTGTTTCCTTTAATCTTTACTTAGTTGCTTGAAGGCCATAAAAGGCCTTCCTCAACTTTTTAAAAAATCTATACTAGTTATTTCTAATTCCTTCCATTTTGTTTCCTTCACGGCTTAATTTCCTCATTACTTAGCAAATCCCTGTAGTTTTTCTATACGGCCCCTCCAAACCTCCATAAACTTCCTTGGTTGAAATCCTGATTTAGATTCCATGCCAGGAAAAGTATGGCTGACACTTCTTCAGAGGAAGGTTAATTCACACTGTGTTTTACAGAATGCTGGTTACATGCTGGTTACACAATGCTGGTGCACATCCTGACTGTGTCACCTGGATCTATTTCTGCAGGGACTTTGCAAAGCTGGTTTAACATCTACTATTAGTTTTTCCTCCTCGAAAGAGTACTTATAATCCCTTTTATTAATAATCCTCAAAGCTTTTGAATGAATACTGCCATTCATCTTTATGGATAAAAAAGCAAAATCTGTCTGGCTTTTTTTTTTAAAACATGAGAGAGTGCTAGATGATTCTAATAAGTATAAAAAGCCAAATGCAGAGATAAAGGCCCAAAAGTGAGTACCAGTCCTTAAATATATTTAGATCATCTGGATCAACAAATATTTATGATTAGATGGATCATCTATAGACAGATATATCTGTACTCATAGTCATTATTATATCACTCACTTTAAAAACTCCGTAAACATGGGCCGGGGATTTAGCTCAGTGGTTCCGGTGTCTGCCTTGAAAGCGCAAGGTCCCGAGTTTGATCCCCGGTACCAAAAAAAAAAACTCAGTAAATGTGACACTTTTCACTGATTTTTAAATTTCCAAACTTTAATTTTTCTAATTCTAAATTACTCAGTTCAGCTTTCTAGATTTTCTTAACAAACTTATGTGGTACTTTGAGTACAAGTAACTGCACAATTGGAAACATTTAAGAGTATTCAGCAGCCCTTATTATTTCTCAATTGAGTTAATTTCAATTAATGTTATTTCTTTTAAAATAAAGTAGGTGAAACATAAAGGCAATGACACGATCTATCTGTATGGCACTATACTGCCATCGTAAGTTTTTTCCCAAGTGGCAGCATGTACAACGTCAAGGGTGCCTGCCCCTGCAAACTGTGAGCCTTGGATGATGACGACCTGCTTTCTGTAACAAAGGTACCATTTCGAGCCAGGCATGGTGGCACAGGCCCATAATCTCAGCACTCTGGAAGGCTGAGGCAGCAGGATCCCAACTGAGCAGTTCAGAGGTTTAGCAAGACTGTCTCAAAGTAAATTTTTAAAAAATTGAAAAGGGTTGAAAGTATAGCTCAGTGCAAAGGCCCTGGGTTCAATCCCTACAACTGCAAGAAAAAAGAAAAAGTTTTTAAAATAGTGCCACTCTGCCGGGTCCGCTGATAATGCAGGAAGGAGGCTGTGCATGTTTGGGGCTGGAAGTACACAGGAAACCTGCACCTTCTGCTCAGTTTTGCTGTGAACCTAGAAACTGCTCTAATAACTGGTCTCTAAAATATTTATTTCAAAGGATTCACATAAAAGAGAGATTACTGTGAATGATAAATTAGAAAGCTTGCTGTGAGCCCAGAATGAATTTCATTTTTTTCTTTCCTCCAACCCACGCGACAATCAGCTCCTCATTATCAGCACTGTCAGCTTTCACTCCTATTCAGACACCATGCTGACAGCAAAGGCTTCCTTGAAATGGGCACAGAAAAGGGACGAAAGGGGGGAAATCTGTTCCTGCACATGGCTGTATCTCTAGCAAAGAGAAAATCCACTCCTTGCCTAAACAACGTGTCTTAGCAAGATTCACTGCCAACCATTTAACCCACATCAGTAATAACCGTGTGGCCGTATTTCCCCCAAACTCACATTCACTCTAAAGAGCACTAGCTGTGTGTGGCCTCACAGTTCTCAATAGCATCTGCAAGGTTCTAAAGTGTTCTCGAGTGAGAAGTCCTGAATTCCGTCTACTTGCACACTTCTCTGCAGTGCGGGTAGCTAAATGGACTCTGGACAGCACCATGTGGCAGCTGCCACACCACTGCTGCAGCCCACAAGGATCCGGCATCTTCACAACACTCCCCACTGCTCCACCCCTCTCCTGATTTTCCCTCCTAAAATCTTATCCCTTTCCACTCAACAGTAAGATAGAAACGTGGGGGGCAGCTTTTTGTTTCTTTATTGGCTCTAAATAATTTTTATCTTGTAGACTATGAAAGATTCACAAGCCTGAAACACAAAATAAGAATTTTTAAGGCTTAAATTACAGTAACAACCCATTTATGTTACCCAGAATTGACGTCTATTAGCTGAAAAGGGGGAGAGTGGCCAAGACTATTTTGGTAGAGATTTGTTGAAGGGTTCAGTGAATCAGAAGACTTCATTCAAATTAGCCCTTTGGCCCCACAATTAAAAGGGTACCATATTATGTTTACAAAGTTACTTGCTCTGTTTGAAATTCCAATCATTCCCTTGGAATTCTCTTTAAGCCACGTTGCCAAGCTGGCCTTGAACTCCTAGGATCAAATGGTCTTCCTGCCCAGCCGCCCCGGTAGCTGGGAGGACAGGTGTATACCAGCACACCAGCCTTTCTTACAAATTTTAAAATGGCAACAAGTATGGCACAGTCTGTAAAGGCAAGTGATACTACTTCCGGCACTGTGGCTTCTAATAATACAAAACTCTTTCTCTCCACTGACAGAGAATGGGGAAAACAGTATGGATACGGATATGCTTGATGGACACCATGAGCAGCTTTCTTCAGAATCTCAGTGAAGTGCCAGTCGTTGGCTCCAGCTTGCAGAGTTCTGTAATAGCAGTAAGTACTGAATATACTTTGATTTAAACTCTTATAAGAGCACTGGTCCTCGGAAATGTGATTTTAAAATCCCACAACTTCTACCTACTCTATCCAAATACGGGTTCTGCATACTAGTGTACTGGTGTATGCAGAATGCTACAGTTGTCCTTAATCAGTTTTTAACCACACCAAATTCAAGTATAATTTTTTCGATTAATCATTTATGCACAATAGTAGGCTCGTGATGGAGCAGTCCGTCTGCAGGGCAAATGTGGCAGTGAAACATAGTTCAGCCTGCTAATTTTCCTCTCTGGACCATAGTGGACAAAACTGAATTGCTCATATCTGAATTTTAGACCATTCTCTCCATTTTCATTTAATTACTTTACTGATGTGATAAGCATTTGTAAGCCTATCCCTTAAGAGAAAAGCTAGGAAATCTATATCCACCATGTGATCTTCCCCAGGTCATTGTGTTTATGCAAATTTCATATATCAGCTTTCCTAGTTTTAAGATATTTTACAGAGAGAGAGCATAATGCAATTTAAAATAAGGTCAATGGCCGAGAGACACATCTTTAAAATATTCTAAGTGTCAACTGTCGTATGTTCAAAGAGAGTACTGAGTCTGTAACTTTATGAAAATAATTATCTGAAAACTAAAAAGTACAGGGCTGCCTTCTTATAATACAGGAAACACCTCATAATCCTATTCTAGCGTATTCTATTATCAAACACTTTGAATTCTAAGATTTAAATGAGTCCTAAGCACTTAACCCCAGGAAGGGAATGGAGAGAAGCAAAGTATACTTGTTTCTATAGCCATTTTGTGTTCCTAACACACGCTAGCACTTTTTCAGTAATAAAAACATTTCCAAGCTGAACTAGAACACAGACCCCCGTGTGGTGACGATGTCTCCTCAATTGCTGCATCTCAACTACACACGGATTGGCACTGGGCAATCTTCTGATAACTGTCCCTCTAATGAACAAACGAGGCTGAGGTGTTCTGCACACTGAGAAGCATTTCATACTGCACAGATGTACACTGGAATAAGCCAGATACATTCATGGAAATGGAGCAAAAGGAAACAGAAATGGGCAAAAGACAAAAACAAAACTCAGCACAGCGACAAAGCCATAATGCTCACGGCTCACCTGGGGATTTGGCTGAAGAATAGGCACTGGAGTAGTGGCCACCTCTCTTTACTGTACACATGCAGTATATACAAGCAGAGGAGACAGTAAGGAGAGTGGTTATTCAGCGATCTAAACGTGTATACAGAAACAAGGGTAAAACAGCCTGCCCTAAGAAGAAAGACGTGGGGCCCAAGGGACACAGAGAAAAGTGGAATGTCCAAAAAAGTCTACAAAGTTTGATGCGCAAAATGGTCTTTATTGGTATTATGTTGATGTATTCTAGATATCGGGAAAAGCATTGGGAAAGCAAATTATTCTTAATTACTATAAATAAACCCATAGAATCAAGTTTTTGAGATATTTATGTAGTTTTTAATGTTTAAAAAATGCCCACTCAGAATTGTGACAAATTTATAGGCTTAGGACCTGAAAGAAACTTACTCAGAGGAATATCTAACTCTTAAATAAGTACTACCTTCCAACAATAATCATGGCTACTATTATATTGCTCAATGAAGAAAAGGCCCGCAGAAACTTATCAAGTCCATGTATTTCTGTGTGAAGTCAATGTTTTACACCAGAAAAGATATTAAGAAAATAAATGTGGTCAAAATGTGAAACCTTTCCATGTAAACAGCAGAAGGGTTCAGATAATAGGGTTTTCTTGAGAACATGAAGAACAAAAACATGCAAGTCTCTCAGAAGACTCACAGCTTTGGAAAACAGACCTAACCTTTTGGTTTTAAAAATCACCTCTATTGAGGGGCCGGGGATTTAGCTCAGTGGTTCAGCTGCCTGCCTCGAAAGCATAAGGACCCAAGTTTGATCCCCAGTACCCAAAAAATACATAAATAAAATAACCTCTATCTGCTGTTCCGAAACCTGGCTGTGCACAAGCCTGGCACCAATTCCTGCTTCACCAACATTCAAGAAAACTGAAGGAGAAGGACCTGTCTGTGCCGTGAGCGGCCACCACCCTTCACTCATACCTGAAGCTGGCGATTTGCTGCGACGAGAAGGCCCAGGGCTTTTGGATCCAGAATACTTAACAGCTGAGGATCGAGAGTAAGACGACTTCAGGACCCGGCATTCTGGTCAGGAACAGAAGAGCATTCAGTACATGAAGTTTTAGCAGAGCAGAAAGGCATGCCACATGCGACCATGGTCCACTATGCCCATGTACTACTGGACAGCTTCCCTGTTTCTGAGTGGGGTATCACTATGTGGTTCAGGCCGCCCTCCAACTCACAATGACCCTCCTGCCTCAGCCTCCCCGCAGTTCTAAGACTGCAGCAGTCCACCACTGAACCCGGCTGTCTGACAGTGCCACTGTAATACTGGGATCAAACCCAGGGCCATGCACATACTAGGCAGCTGCTCTACTGGGCTACATCCTCAGCCCAACTAAATAGCTTTGATGTACAAAGCAACCGAACAAAAGTACACCTGAGGTTATCTTCAGTTAGGCTGCAGAACCCGTGGCACTGGCTCACACTTCCAGATGAAGTTCTTGGTGAACACGGGATCCCAGGGACCTAACTTGATACACAGGTCCTGACCTGCACGTGTGGAATTTTCTAAATCAGCAGCACTAACAAGCAAAGACTATATGGTCATCATCTTCTCCAGCTCCTTGGCTTTTATTTTGAATGGATAAAGGACCCCTGACTGTCTTACTTTCCATCTTCCAAAAATACAGTGCACTGGGGCCGGGGATTTAGCTCAGTGGTTCCGCCACCTGCCTCACAAGCAAGCACAAGGTCCCAAGTTTGATCTCTGGTACCAAAAAAAAAGGGCAGTGCATAGAAAAATGAGGAAAATCACTTTAATCAATAATTTATCTTTCTGTAAGTTGCCAAATAAAAGTGTTTGGAGTTCCAGAGTACTAATTACAGCTAGAATAATCTCTTCTAATTCGAATAACTAACAACAGGAGTTTTAGAGTCACGTAGATTTTCGGTGAATCGTGGACCTGACGTTTGCTAACTAGGAGACCTCAGTGTCTTCCCCAAGAAACTGATAAGACCAAAATCTATTTCATAGCCTTGTTATAAGAGTGAAGTTAGATAAAATATTGTCTTAATTTACTTTAAAATATTTCAATTTATGAAGAATAAAATGTGAGTTAGTTTCTAATCGGTACCCCAGGGGCAGTGGACTCACATGTGGAGCACACTAGTCAGGAAAATAATACGGGGCATCTGAGAAATCTAATCAAACCCTTACACAAAGGGAACAATGGCAACTTCTGCTTAATTAGCACGGTGGAAGTCAGAAAGCCTTCTGCGGGAGGACCTCTTCCAAACATTTGAAAGGCAGTGCTAGCTTTTATGAGCAGGATAGGTAAACATTTAGAGCAAATAACCTGGGAGTTCACAGCTATACCTTGGGCTTAGAGTCAGAGCTGGTCCTGCACCTGGCTTTTCTGAGACTTTATAACTTGGCTAAGATTAGCCTAGCCAAATTCTACACATTCTGAGTGGATCTTTAATGCAGGATGTTGTCAGAAGCTTAACAAATGTTTTGTTCTTGTTAATATTACCCAACTAAACCTGGAATGTATCATTTGGTTTCTGTATCTCAACTTTCAATGTGATGACTATTGCTACCGAAGTATTATGGAACTAAAGCTAAAATTAATAAAGATATAAAATACAGTTGATAACATTAGGCAGGGAAAAACTCAAGGTCTCAAGACAAACTAAACAGACCCATTCCAAAGGGGCATGAACTGAAGCCTTCTTTCTTCTCTCAGAAGTTGGTTCAAGTAACAATGACCTGGGCGGAAGGACATGACACTCCTTGAAGGCCCACTCAATCAGACCAATCATATAAAGAGAGTCTGAGCCCTCATTCGGAGCACCTGGCATACTGGTACTTGTCTACCTTCAGGCTTTAAGTTACCTTCCTTCTCTACTGCTCTAAAAATCTACCGCTTTACAATAAACTCTGCCCACACTCTGTACAACTGCCTGTGTCTTGTCTAGATCCTCTCATCAAAGACACAAAGAAGGGCCAGGGATTTAGCCCAGTGGTTCCACTGCCTGCCTCAAAGCACAAGGTTCCAAGTGTGATCGCTGGTACCAAAACAAATAAACAAACAAACAAAGACACAAAGAACCAAGCAGCCTCACTGGCTCCTTGCAGTAGTTGGACCTGGCTTCCAGGTGACAACAGGTAAGTGTATTTCTGTAGACCTTAACCTCACAGCACAGGGCATAAAAAGGACATTACCTACAAGTAAGGCCTGTATACTGAGATTATCAACTTAAAGTAGGGCCTCTCTAATGGAGTAATACAATATAGAAACACTTAAGGAAATACAGCAGAGGTGAAAAACAAAACAGAGGATAGGCAAACTGCAAGCTATGAATAACTGATACAGTATAACAAGAAAGAATGGCACAAGATGTTTTAATACCACAGAATGAATCATCTCAAATTTTAAAAAGTGATGACAGGCATGGTGCTACATGCCTGTAATCCTAGCACTCGGGAGGGGAGGCTGAGGCAGGAGAATCACCACAAATCTGAGGTCAGCCTGGGCTATATAGTGAGTTCAAGGCCAGCCTGAACTACATACTATGAGACTCTGTCTCAAAAAACAAAACAAAACTCAAATTTTAAAATTCATAGATTATCACTATTTACGTGGCAATATATTTCTCTAATTCTGGACTGCCACAACCACTGTGACTCTAAGTCATCTAATGTTCATCTACTTTTTTTTACAGACAATATTCCCCAAATGTAAGAGTGAGACTGTATCTCTAAGATCGCTCTCCTCTGTGAAATGTTATGTTTGCATAATTTTACCTCACTTAAAGATTATCAGCTAAAACAACCACTATTAGGTAATAGGTTTGAAGTAATAAAGATAATAAAGTCATATTCATAGAATCAATAACATTTGAAATCGCTTAGATCATTGCTAATTAGTTGAAAACTCCATACACTGACAAAAATTAAGAAAAAAGGACTTTTTCCATTCTACCCACAAAACAGCTTTTTCCCCCAAAATATATAAACAATGCATGTATTCTTTTGTTTGTAATGTTTTAATAAAACCAATGAGATAAAAAAGAAACCTTAGATCCTCACCATTAACAATTTAGCTATTACTCTTTATAGTCTTTGGTTTGTGTGTTTACGGTACTGGGGAGTGAATCCAGGCACTCTACCCCTGAACTGCCTCCCCAGCACTTTTCTAAAAAGTAGTACTGAAGACTCAATCCAGAGCCTTCCAACTGAGCTACATCCCCAGCTCTTTTTATTTTTTATTTGGATACAGAGTCTCACTAAGTTACAAGGTTCCAGGTTAGGCTGGAACTTACAGTCTCCCTGCCTCGGCCAGCTAAGGGTCATGGAAATGGTCAGTGAATGGCCTCACTTACCACTGTGATCCAGGACAAAGTCATCTTGGGCATAACGGAATTTTTCAGGTCCACACGCGATAAAAACATCATCATCACCAAAAAAGTCTTGCAGACAAGTAACCTGAAAAAAGAATCACATCCGAAAAATTAGAAACATTAGAAGTGAAATAGCCAGCAAAACTGAACACATTTTCCATCCGCATCTATAATACTGAGGGGGACCAAAAGCTGCTGTATAGCGCATGGCATTTCCAAGCACTTTGCCTTCACGAAGCCCGGACACTGTTTCTCAATCTCAACAAGCAGAAGGGAGGGCTGGTTCTCAGCACATACCGACCCCCGTTTCTCACGTCAAGACATAATGCAAGGTTACGTGGTTTTCCCCAGGGTTTCCTTAAGGACGGTGGCAAAGCTGGGATTGAAGGAGGCCCCCACTCTCTGTTTAGTGTACTTTTCTCTCATGTGTGACCTCGGGCCTGACTTCTCTGTCCCTCTGGTCCTTGCGTGGACTGCTCTGGGGACCAACACCCCAAAACTTCTCAGCACGATCGCTGCCTGGTTCAGGATGCGGTTGGTGAGTTAATACTCATCCCTGTCACAACGGGATCAGAGGGAGCCTGGCCGAGAAGCCGAGGAGATCTGAGCTGAGGGCTCTCCCAGGCCTGTGCCCAGGGAGCAGTCTGGGCAACACGCTCAGTCTTCAGAAAGCTGCCTCCGTCCACACCATCGCGGTTTCAGACCACGCAGCCCTGGGCTGTCCCAGAGAACACGTTCTTCACCCACGCATCCCACTGCCAACCAGCGGCACCATCTTCCAGGGCTTGGCACAGGGACAGGCTCTACTGCACTGTTTCTCAATGGGCTGCATAAAAATTGTTTTAAGTAGGGGCCAGGATTTAGCTCAGTGGTTCCACCGCCTGCCTTGACAGCTCAAGGTCCAGAGTTCGATCCCCAGTACCCAGAAGAAAAAAAAAAAAAACAAAACTTTTTTAAGTACTTCATTTCCAATGATGAAATCTTTAAACACTGCTGCAGTACTTGAAAGGCTTGAGCTATCTCAGTGATCCTTGTGTCTTCCTGATGATTATTAGCTTTTTTATTGGGCAGGGGGAAATTTCACGGTAGAGTTAGAAAACAAAGCTCCAGAGAGAAGACAGTGAATAGATACAATGCGGATGGCACAGGCCATAGTAACTAAATATCTCAGATGATGCACTTCTTTGCTTTTTTTGCAAGCCAGAATGTCAACATACAGACACTAAGTGGAACTGGTGTGCATTTGAACTCATTTTTCCCACTTCTTGTCAGGCAAGACTTGGCTTCAACAGCTTGGGCCACAGTGTGCCAGGCTTTCAAGTAGAATGGTTTGATCCGGGCAGTCGTTTTTCTCTCTGTTTTCCCCCAACCCCTCACATCTAGTCCTTCCTACTTCTTACCCAGTTCTCGTGTTTCCGCGCATTCTCCTGGGTTCACACTCGTCCCTTCTTGCCCACTCCCGCTGCACTGCTCCTCCGCAGGTTATCAAACCTCCAGTCCCATGGTGCGCGCTGGTTTTGCCCATTATCGTTCAGTCTCTCGCATGCATGCCCCGGACTCAGTGGCTTCTCACTGACAGGACGAACTCCCTCGGGGGCTGGCCCACCTGGCCCTCCCCCTCCTCTGTGCCTCCTTTTCTGCTCACTCAGCCACAGTCGGGCTGCTTTGAGTTCCTATCTGATTTTTAAACATCTTTTTAAAAGTAGTCTCCACATACCACACAATTCATCCATTCAAGGTACTCAAGTCGATGGCTTTTAATATATTCTGAGTTGTTCAGCAATCCCTGTAATCCATTTTAGAATGTTTTCATCGCCCCAGAAAGAAGGTCCATATCCACAGCAGTCGCACCCCATGCTCCCCACCCCTTTCTTCCAGGCACCCATAGTCCACTTTCCGTCTCTGTGGACCTGCCTGCTCTGGATATTCCATGTACAATGAAGCACACGGTAGGAGGCATTCAGAGACTGGTTTCGCTCGGCCTCCAAGCTTACCCGTGTGTGGCACGGCTCAGCCCTCTGTTTCTTTCGGCGGCCATAGGCACACTGCACTTGCTGCCCACTCACTGAGTGCTGGGTCCCTGGGCTATTTGCACCCCCGTGCTGCTCCTGACGTCAGCCCTTTCCAACCACTCTTCAGTGCCACAACCTTGGAAGCTTCCAGTCCATCACTGCCTGGGGCCTAGTGAAGCTCAGAATGAGGCTGGCCAGGAGCTGCTCCTTCTGGAACTGAGTCACAGACTGAGAAGAGCTTCTCTGGGGCGAGGGGCACATAGCTGGGATCCCCGCTGCTACCACTACCGCTGATGTTTCGGAGGGGCTGAATTACCTCACCACTTAACCTCTCCCAACTCTCCTGTGAGATGCTGCCTATCCCTACAGAACTGAGGACCATACTATTATCCCTCTCCTCGTTCACAAATAGGAAAGCGTATGTATCTCAGGAGGGAAACTACCCTTACACAGGCAATGAATGCACACATAGAAATTTAGATGCAAGATTTCCACTTCGAACATCTCTGCTTTCATCTACTTTTGTTTTGTTTTGGCCGTGCTGGGGCTGAAACCCAGGTCTCTGCACGTGCTGGGCAAGTCCTCTTCCACGGAGCTGCATCCCCCGGCTCTGTGCTCTAACCTGAACACTGCTGCTCTCCCTCACTGGGGATCCCATGGTTCACTTTCCTACTATGGCTCTTACTCATTGTACTTTGATAGTCATTTATGTCTATCTTATACTTCCAACTACTTTGTTTTTTATGTATATTTATTCAACAAATATTGGATCCATTTTTATTTCCTTGGCCAAGTAAAACAAATATCTATGTAAGTTTAACTCAGCTTTTTAAGAACTAAAAATTTTATTTTTTAATCAAATTAGAATGAAAAATAACCACCTTTCTAAAAATACAGGTGAATGTCTGAAAAAACAAGTTAATCTTTAATTGATCTTATTACAAGGAAGTATTTCACCTGGTACTAAATTAGTTGGCATTTGACTAGAATGACAAAGTTTATTATGTAAAATAAAAATACTTAACAGGCCTCAGGAATAGAACAGATCAAAGAAGTGACTTATTTTCCACACCAGTTCTACATAGGGCTTCCTAACCTTCTGTTAATGATTTCACCTGTCAATTTAAGTTTGGGTTTGTAGTTTGTATATTTGCCTCCTTTGATTCAGGTTCTAGTCACTGAATACATATTTGGCTAATTAGTTAACCAAACTATATGACTTTCAATTAGGTCAGATATGCCTCAAGTAAGTCATTAATACTCTCAAAAAATAACTTCTAGGAGGCTGAAGCAGGAGGATCACAAGCTGAGGCCCACCTGGGCAACTCTGTGACTTAGTGAGACCCTGTCTGAAAACAACAGAAAAGGGCTACGGGTATGGTTTAGTGCAAATAGCCCGGGTACAATCCTCACTGCAGCAGTGCTAAAAAAAAAAAAAGCTATCAAGAGAATAAATGGTACAACTGAAACAAACTAAACATGCATCCCAATTACATTACAAATATTTACTCAGGACAGTGGCATACTTCCTAAATTATGAAACCCTTTCCCCCTCCATTTAGTCAAAACATCTTTATTCAGCACTTAACTGCCAAGTACTATTCCAGGTGCTAGAGATATCAGAAAAAAAAAACACAAAAGTTCTTATCCTCACTGAGCAAATATGGGGAGAAACAATGAACAAATGCACAGCTGGATGTATGCAGAGTGAGAAGGCAGTTTGGGGAAAGGTCAAGCACAGAAAGGGATGGACTGCAAAATATCTCACTGCCAAGGTGACTTCTGCACAGAAAGCGAGCAAGGCTCGTGGAGCACCTGTGGGAAAAGCACTCCAAGCACAAGGAACAGAATGAACAAAAGCCCTATGGAGAGATCAGGCCTGGATGTCCACAGGAAACAGCAAGGGAAAAGTCCCTGGAACACAGTGAGAGAGACGAGAAGGCCCAGAAGGAGCAGAGATCAGAAGGCACAGGGAGGCAAAGCAGGCTGTGTGGGCCTTGGCAGGCATCAGCTTTACTCTAGATGGGAAACAATGGGTGTGTGCACAAGAGGACTTGTGTGTTAGTAGGGTCTGAGTGAAACTGCACTATAAGAACTCAACAACCTCAGGAAACCAAATGATCCCATTTAGAAACAGACAGATGATCTAAACAGATACTTCTCAAAAGAAGAAACACAACAGATCAACAAGTATATGAGAAAAATAATACCCATCAGGAAGATGCAAGTGAGATATCATCTCACTCCAGTCAGATGGCTATCACCAAAAAGAGCAAACAAATAAATGTTAATGAACATCCAGAGAAAAGGGAATTTTTTATACACTGTTAAAGGGAATATGTGATAGTACAGCCACTATGGAGGTCAGCATGGGAGTTCCTTAAAACTGAAAATGGAACCACCATGCTCTAGCAAGCCTACTTCTGGATGTATATGCAAGGGAGATGAAACTGGCACATCAAAACCACGTCTGCACTCCCATCTGCATGGCAGCTACACCACAGCCAAGGTGGGGGACCAATTGCGGAGGGGTCCATTAATGAAGGAACCAAGAAAATGTGGTGCACCATCCATGTACACAATGGAATGTTATTTGACTATAAAAATAGTGACATTCTAATAAATGGAATTATAAGACACACTACAAACAGAACAGAGGTACAAGATGATGACCATGACCAAAGGAGGATCTAAACCAATACCCACAGAAGGGGAATGGGAAATCTGAGCTCTGTTTTCACTGTGGTGGTGAACCCATGGCCACAGCGGGGTGTTTGTTATCATATTGAAAGTTCTAAAAGGTTCGCCAACACTGGTTAACTCACTTGTGTATCTAAACTACAGGCACCAGCCTGTGAATCATGAGCTGACCACAAGCTTTTGCTGAGAGTGACAAAATAAACCTCTAAGCCTACTGCCACCACACACGTGCACACACACACACACATGCATGCACACTTGTGTAGCCACAAGTACTCTTTGGACAAAATACTTAACCTGAGGTTGTTTCTCCATCTGCAAAACCCACAAGAAATCAATTCCACTTAAGCTACAAAGATTAAGTATGATAACG